CCCCAAAACCCCAAAACCCCAAAACCCCAAAACCCCTCAATGCATAAAGTTTATTGAATAAGCTTAATATTTTCTTCTGACCTTAGCTGTTTTTGGTCTCTGATATTGCTTAACCTGTTCATTTCACTTGGATAAATTAGAATAGGCTAGCAAGATCTCTCCTCGATATCTTCTGATCCTTGACTCGATTTGGTCTGTATCCTTATGCTGAGATATTTGTTTTTGCTTTCGTTTGTGTCGAAGCTCTTTGTCTTTATTAAGCTTCCACTTATTTATAACAGATTTCAGCCTCTATTTTACGCTTGGCTTTCATCCTTTTAGTGATTTCTCTTTCCATAATTCTTTGTCTCCTTTTATACTGTTCTTCGATCTCCTTCTTATCTTTGCGGAGCGAATCCTTAAGCCATTCTCTGAATGCTATACAAAATGAGAGATTGCTCAGTTACCTTTTTGGGCAAGTTCTTTGCGCTGCTTTTTCTGTTGCTTTTCTTGCTGCTTCTTCTTGTGCTTCTGTTTCTTCTTCATTTTACTTTCTTTCTTCTTGATTTTCATCCAGTCTTCAACAAGTTTCTTCCTGTATTGCTTTTCTTCTTCTTCTTGATTGTCAAATTTTTCTTTGAGTTCTTTACAGTCGACCTTAGCATCCTGGACAAGTCTGTCTTTGAGCTTACGCTCTACTTCTTTGAGTCTATTAGTGAGAAAAGAGGAGCATACCTGTACCATTCTTCGTAGGTCATAAAAGTTTTCTGACTCTTATTGTCAGATACATCTCTTAATCGATGAGATTTTGACTTCCTCGAGGTTGAATTTATGTAATCTTTCTCTGTATAGTCTATGTTGAGAGACTCAGTAACTGGCTTCTCTTCATTAGAACGTTGCTTCTTCTCTTCAGAAAATTGATGAGGATTCGGGTGCAAGGCTAGTTTAGCACGAGAGGTCCTTTGCCTGACCATTCTATCAATCATATACATCGTTTCACGAGGAACTTCGACAGTGTTCTCTCTTTCTGTATAGTTTATGGTGGATTCATTTTCGATGTTTAAGCTTTCATGGTTTTTGCTATCAATTTTATTTATATTCATTTAGAACTCGAAAGTAATCCTCGCTTGTTAATTTTGGATCTTCAGCGGGCATCTTGTGGTCACTAAAGTCTCATGATTGGTTTGGTTTGCTGCTATACATCCTATTGTCGGCATAAAAGCTTCCATATTGCCAAGAAGTCGGTAAGGAAGTTGACATAATCAATTAATTTCTTATATAATTCAAATTTTTGAGCTAGTTGAGGGGTTTTGGGGTTTTGGGGTTTTGGGGTTTTGGGGTTTTGGGG